TTTTACACAATTTATGCTCTTTTTTCCTTTTTGGGGACTTGGAACAGCCCACCCCCACCCCACTTTTCATTGTGTATCTCGGGTTCATCGAGGGTAGGGTGATTAAAAAAAAGCACGCGCTGCTTTGATTCCCCCGATGGCGGCCGTGGCGTAGTACAGCAGGAGGGAGAGGAGGAGGAGGAGAGGAAGAGAAGATGAGAGGAGGAGAGGAGGATGAGATAGAGATACATGCAGAGTGAGAGCAGGATATTGCAGAGGAGTGAATATCAAGATTTGTGAAGGAAAAGCTATTGTAGGTGTGGTTATATGTGATGACGTAGGTTTACCTAGAGGAATGGCGGAGTTGGGAGGAAAGACAGGATGGAGGGAAGGAGAGAGCGCAGGGAGAAAGTAGATTCGTTGAAGTACCGATGGTAGGATCGGCAGGATCTGATGGCTGAAGGAGGGAGATGCCCCTAACTAGCTGTTACGGTATCAGCAGTTGGTTGCAGTTATCTAGGACCATGGGAGAGTATGAAGAATGTGTTTATGAGCAAAGTGAGCAATTCATTTATTTCATATGATGAAACCAATGAGATTGAGAAACTCTCCTGCACTCTGCTGTCTACCTTGGGCACGAATATTGCAAGGCGCAAGACAAGAAATGTTCGGGGGAAGTGAAGGGCGTGAAGGAAGTGCGAAGGAGTAGATTAGGATGCAATCACCAACACTCAATCTCAGTTTCTCAACACTCAATCTCAGTTTTTCAGCACTCAATCTCAGTTTCTCAACACACACACAACAGAACCTTCATTCCTCCCTTCATCAACCTCCTGCTGACCATGCTGCAGGCAACCCTCAATGTTGCTACGACAGGCTCGCGCGTCATCGCACGTGACGACGGCAGTTGCCTTCGCTGTCCTCGCCAGCACCGCGGCATGGTCTCCCTCCATGCTCCTTCCCTCGCGCATGTCCCGCTCCTCCGTGTCGAGCCTGTCCCTGCGCTCTCCTGCTCCCATCAGGGGGCGAGCAGCGGCGGGCAACGGGCATGGAGCCCCTCGCATGATGCTTACCGGGTATCGGGTGGACGAGATGAAAAAGCTGGATCTTCCCGGGTCTGCGACGTGCGACTGGGAGGTACACAAGTTTGGAGGAGCGTCGTTGGCAAACGCGGAGCTGTACAGGACCGTCGGTGATCTCCTCGTAAACGAGGCCAAGGGGAGAGGGAGCGGTGCTATACCGACCATGGCGATCGTGTCGGCTATGGGCGGCATGACGGACTTGCTGATCAAGGTTGTTGACTCGGCGCTGAGCAGCTTTGAGGAGGCGAAACAAGACATCCAGGCGGCAGTGGAGAGGCAGGTGGCGACGCTGAGAGAGCTGGCTCCTGCGGAGATCACCGGGCCCATCGAGCAGAACATCCGGAAGGACGCTGAAGATATCTTGAGCATCGTTCAGTCGCTGCGGATGATCCGCAGCGTTCCTGCCGTGACGATGGAGGTCGTGACAGGATACGGAGAGATCTGGTCGGCTCAGACGCTGTTCGCCTACCTCAAGACGAAGAACGTCCCAACTGACTGGATCGACGCTCGCAACATCCTAGTGGTGAAGTCGGAGCTGGTGGGTCTGGGAGAGAAGGGGTCAGCTGCGACTGGAGGAGTGTATCCCCTGTGGGAGGAGACATCGAGGAGGATGGTGGGATGGTGGGAGGAGCACGGGAAGAAGAACGGGTTCATGGACCTCGACTACAAGAACGTCTCCCCGATCATCGTCGTCACTGGGTTCGTAGCAACGACGGCAGAGGGCGTCCCGACGACTCTGAAGAGGTCTGGGTCAGACTACAGCGCTACCATCTTCGCGAAGCTGCTGGAGGCAGGCAGGGTGACCATGTGGAAGAACACTGACGGAGTCTACACTGCCGACCCCCGCCGTGTCCCCGAGGCCTTTCCCATCGAATCGCTAAAGTACGATGAGGCGATGGAGTTGGCGTACTTTGGGGCGCAGGTGCTTCACCCCAGCGCCATGGTGCCCTGTATCGACGGAAACATCCCGGTGTATGTGAGGAATATCTTCAACCCTTCCTTCAAGGGGACTGTAATCCAGGGCCGGTCGCCAACTCTCAAGGACACCGACATGGCTCGCAGACAGGAGGAGGAAGAGGAAAGGAAGATGGAGCAGCAGAAGGGAGGAGCAGGAGCTGACAAGGTCTTCACCAAGGGAGCTCCTGTCATCCCTATCAAGGGCATCACTTCCATTGACAAGGTCGCGCTAGTCAACCTCGAAGGAGCGTCGCTGATCGGGGTGCCGGGAGTCGCCCAGCGCTTCATGGCAGCCATGGCAGACAGCAACATCAACGTGCTCATGATCACACAAGCTTCCTCCGAGCACTCGATCTGCGTCGCCGTCCCCTCCGAGCAAGGGAGCAAGGCCTTGGAGGCGCTGCAGAGGGCGTTCGAGCTGGAGCTTGCCCGCTCGACGGTGAACAGCATCTCCCTCCTCCGTGGGATGTCGGTAGTAGCCATAATCGGGGAGGGGATGGCGTTTACGCTGGGTACCGCTGCTACCTTCATGCGCGCTCTTGCTACTGCCAAGGTCAACGTCCGAGCCATCGCACAAGGATCGTCCGAGCGGCAGGTGGCGGTGGTGGTGAATGCGGAGGATGCGACCAGAGCGCTGAGGGCTGTTCACCAAGCGTTCACGCTATCGGAGACGGTGGCGAGTGTGGCGATCATTGGAGCTGGAGGAAGAGTGGGAGGAGAGCTGGTGGATCAGCTGAACCAGCAGAAAAGCGAGCTGAAGGAGAAGCTGGGGCTGCAGGTGAAGTGAGGAGGGGAGAAGAGGAGAGGAGGAGGAGGTGGCAGTGGTGGAGATGATGATGATGATGATGGAGATGATGATGATAATGAGGACGAGGAGGACGAGGAGGTGGTGGTGGTTGGAAGGTAAACGGAGGGAGGGAGGGAGGGACGAAGAGCGAGGAAGGCAAATGCAGTCAGGAAGGAGTGTGATAAAGAAGGAGTGGGAGCAGGATATGGAGAAGTACGAGGAGGAAGGAGGAGGGAGGTGAGAGGAGGGAGGAGGGGAGGATGGGAAGGACAGCATAAGGATGAGAATGGGGGAGGGTGGAAGGAGTAGGTGAGGGAAAGAGAAGGAGAGCGAACAGAAGATTGAGGTGAAAAAGTGAATTTGTATTGAATGATGAAAACGATTTTGATGTTGATGACGAAGATTGTGATATGGTTGGAAACGTAGTGTCCTGACAACACTGGGAACATGTTCCTTGTTTGTTGTGTTTTGATGAAGATCAGCTGACAAGTTGTTTGTGATCAGGTCAATGTAATCGCCGCGATGTCTTCATCTAAGATGATCATCAACGACAAGCTGATGGGACTTGACACGAGCAAACTGCCTGAGCTCATTGAGAATGGAGTGCAGACAGACCTCGATGCCTTCACTGCTGCGATTGAGGTGAGGGAGGAGGAGGAGGAGGAGGAGGAGGAGGTTGTGGATGAAGATGATGATGATGATGATGTATGATGATGATGATGATGATGATGATGATGATGATGATGATGATGGAGATGGAGATGATGATGATGATGATGATGATGATGATTGAGATGATGATAGAGATGATGATATTATCAACTTCAACTATCTTCCTTCTTGCAGTTCAATCAAGTCGACAGCTGACCATGTTTGCCTGTAGTCGGACATCAACCCGCACAAGGTTGTCATCGATTGCACTTCTTCCGAGAAAGTTTCCGAGTATTATGAGAAGTAAGTACACTGGAGATGTGGATTGAGATTTTGTGATGATATCGATGTTGAGGGTGATAATTATTGAGATGATGATGATGATTGCAATGATGATGATTGCAATGGTGATGATTGTAATGATGATGATGGTAGAGATAAAAATGATTTTGTTCTTTTCACGAGGACAAACATCGTCATAACATGTCATTAATTTCGTTGATGTTTAGGTGGTTGAAGGCTGGTATCCACGTGATCACTCCGAATAAGATGGCTGGATCAGGCGACCTGGGAAGATACAGGTACATGAGGAGGACGAGGACGAGGACGAGGACGAGGACGAGGACGAGGACGAGGATTAGCGAGGGGAAAGGAGGAGGAGGAGGAGGAGGAAGAGAGAGAGGAAGGAACTGACAGTGTTTCAGACGTTCGATGGAGCATGTAAAGCAGGGGTCGGCTCAGTGGCACTTTGAGAGCAGGTGAGAGAAGAGGAGGGAGGAGGGAGGAGGGAGGAGGGAGGAGGGAGGAGGGAGGAGGGAGGAGGGAGGAGGGAGGAGGGAGGAGGGAGGAGGAGGAGGAGAGGGTTATGGACAGAGAGGAGAGTAGGAAGGAGAAGGAGGAGGAGAGCGGAATTTGTTTCTCTTCTTACTCTTTTCGCAGTGTTGGAGCTGCTCTCCCCATCATCTCAACTCTCAGGGACCTCCTGCAGGTACGTCAGACATGCTCGTCCTGCTCCCTGCTCCCTGCTCCCTGCTCCCTGCTCCCTGCTCCTGCCCCTGCCCCTGCCCTGCTCCTGCCTCTGCCCTTGCTCTTGTTCTACTCTCCTCACTTGTTCTCCTTCCAGACTGGCGACTCAGTCAAGTTGGTCGAAGGCTCTTTGAGTGGAACGATGTCCTACGTTCTTAGGTCCCCTCCCCTCCCCTCCTCTGCTCTGCTCTGCTCTGCTCTCGCCTCTCCTCCTTCTCTGCTCTGCTCTGCTCTGCTCTGCTCTGCTCTGCTCTGCTCTGCTCTGCTCTGCTCTGCTCTGCTCTGCTCTGCTCTGCTCTGCTCTTCTTACTCGTTTCTAGAACGTTCTCGGAGACCACTCCTTTCTCCGAAGCTGTCAGACAGGTCCTCCATCTCCTCCTGCTCCTTTTCCTCCTACTCCTCCTCCTTCTTTCCCTTGAACTGCGTCAGCTGTTTGTAGTTCTTCCTCTTTGCCTCTCCTCCTGCCTTCTATCTGCTCTGCGCTGCTCTGCTCTGCTCTGCGCTGCTCTGCTCTGCTCTGCTCTGCGCTGCTCTGCTCTGCTCATCCTTCATGGCAGGCGGTTGCCAACGGGTTTTCCGAGTCTGATATCCGCACTGATCTTTCTGGACATGATTGTGCGCGCAAGGTGAGAAGGAGAAGAGAAGAGGGAAGGAGGGAGGGGAGAGAGGAGGGAGAGGGGATGAAGGAAGGAGAGGGAAGGGAGAATGGAGAGATGAGGGAGGAAGGGAGGCAGGCAGGGGGAGAGTGCAGTAGGGGACAGGAGGGAGAGGAGAGGAGAGGAGAGGAGAGGAGAGGAGAGGAGAGGAGAGGAGAGGAGGGAGAGGGTTTGATACTGGTGGGATGAGTGAACTGATGTGAGTTCGTCAGGTTGTGATCTTGGCAAGGGAGTTGGGAATCGACATGAAGGTGGAGGATGTGGAGGTTGAATGTTTGATCCCGAAAGACATCATGGTAACTTGCAGAGACGCGTTGAGATGTTTGTAAACCCTGTTTGCAGGAGAAGAAGTACCAGGGAACAAGAGAAGAAATCAACAACGCTGTCATCAACGGCAAGTTTTCTCTGTTTTTTGCCGTCTCGTACCGTGATGGAGAGTTTGGTGGTATCGCAGATCTGAAGAAGATTGATTCGGACATGTTGGACCGTTTGAAGAAGGTGAAATTCTGTTTCAACATGTTCTCTGATAATTGTTTCCCTTCTCTTGTACATTTCTGCAAGTTTCTTCTTTCACTTTTTCTTGATCTCTCTTCTCGTTCCTTTCTTTCACTCCTTTTGTTTCTATTGTGTTGCCCCTAGTTTTCTCTATTTCTTGTTTGGGTGGTTCACACTGTACGCAGGCACTCGCAAACAACAATGTGTTGAGATATCACACCGTCATCAACACCGAGGTGTTAGAAAAGAAATGTCTCTAGATAACAAGGATGATGATGATGATGATGATGATGATGATGATGATGATGATGATGATGATGATAATTGAGATCATGATGATGATGATGATGATGATGATGATCATAGAGATGATGATTGTTGTTGTTGTTGTTGTTGTTGTTGTTGTTCTTGTTGTTGTTGTTGATGATGATGATGATGATGATGATGATGATGATGCTTGAGACGGAGATATGGCGACAACAACGACGCCGATGACGATGCTGTTGAGATGGATGGAGATGATGGTGATGAATGTTGATGATGATGTTGTTCAGACTGGACGCGCGAGCATCAAGATTCAAGAGACCAAGAACGATCATCCTCTCTACCGTCTCAAGGTAACTCTTTGGTCCTGCTGCTGCTGCTGCTGCTGCTGCTGCTGCTGCTGCTGCTGCTTCTCTCTCGTCTGCCCTCCTGCTCCTGCGTCTGCCCTTGCCACCATCGTCTCCTTTCGTACCTCCTGCTCATCTAACGACTTTGCAGGCTGACGAGAACTTGATCTGTTTTCACACATCTCGCTACAAGACTTCTCCTCTCATTGTCAAGGGCTCTGCCGCCGGCGCCGAGGTCAGCGGAATAATTATCCCTTGTCCCTTCCCTTCTCTCTAGATGAACAAGCAGCAGCAGCAGCTGCTGCTTGTTCAAACAATTCTCTTTCTTGCTTCCCATACGGCCTCCTGCTTCCTCAGCTGACACTGCCAATCCCTGCTCCTGCTCCTGCTCCTGCTCCTGCTCCTTCTCCTGCTGCTTCTCACTAAGTTTCTCAGCTCACTGCTTCGGGCGTCTTCTCGGACCTTCTCCGCCTCATGCGAACATTTTGAAGTAGCAAATTGCGATAATGAAAGAAAACTTCTGCTCCATGACGCCCGTGAGCGTTTGCCTCTCATATTCATGTCATGATCCAGAAATTGTCATCTGAGCAATGATGCAAATTCCTCCAGCATCTCTTGAGATTGCAAGTTGTCAAACTAGTCAGTCACTCTTGTTTGATCTTCAGCCTCTTATCTCCTCCTTCCTTTCCCAGCCAGTCTCCGATGTGCCCCGCTACCTCCTCGGGCTCCATAAGATGCGGGTGATGGCCACCAGAGTTCATGTGCACGAACTTGGAAGTCCTGCAGTAATGAAAGTGTGAGGTTGTGATGAAGTGAGATGGTAAGAGAAAGAGAGAAACTTGAAGTGAAATGATGGAAAGAGCAGATGAAAGCAAGAAAGCAACTATCAGGACATGAAAGAAACAAAACATGCTAGAACAAACATCCACAACATATCTTAAGAAATGTCGAGACTTGCTGTTCGACTTCACCTGCACACGAGCCACCTTCGAAACAGCATCATGTAGACGAATCGGATCTTTCCTATCACTCCAGCTTCTTTCGAGATCTCCGCACTTCAAAAATGTCAACACCAAACATTTTTGACTTGTTTCCCTTGCCTGATTGGGGTAAATCCCTTTGTCATCACGTGTACAACCCTTGCGGCAAAGTTGGCTGGCCGGAACAATCAGTTGCAAATCTTGGTTTGTGTTGACATCTTACCGAAGAAAATTGTAACTCCCCAAGGAATCTGATACATCCAACTCAATGGCAAGAATTTCAGATTTCAGATTCTTTCATATCAAGTGCAGCACTTCTAAAATACAACGCACAAGAATTTCACATGCATGCCAGCAAAGGACAGCACAAATGCCAACACACTGCTCCGATTTTCTCCAACTGTCTTTTGGGCAGGCGGTGGAGACAAAATCAACAATTTTGACAAGAGAAGCAAACAAATCGAGCCAGGACTTCAATTTCTTCCAAATCGTTTGACAACCACAACACTTGGTAAGCAAGACAAGAGTTTACAGAGAAGAGCGTCAATCCAAACGGGGCAGCATCTTTCCAAATCCCATCCCTGTAATCATAGACATGTCAGTACATCGAGTACTATCATACTCAGCCACCCTTACCGACAGACTATGATCAGTTGAGGACATTCGATATGGCTGAGGATTGATCTTGCCACAATCTCATCCACCCTGCTCTCCATTCCGAATGAGACAAGTGAAATGCAGGATCGAACACAGTAGCAAAGAGCCAATGGGGAGATGTAAAGATACTAACAGCATCGAACTGACGGACTAATACACAGTATCACGCAAAGTATCACGCGCAACAACAGACAGCAAAAGGAAGCCAAGGATTGAAAACATTCAGAAGATAAATCTCATCAAAACTCAGAGATATGAAAAGAGACATCTCAACATCTATGATGGACTTCAAAGTAATCACATCAAGCAAACAGTGTTTCATGTTGCCTGTGTCTTGATGGGGCCAGCAGGTTCGGATCGGAAGACCAGATGTAACCCATATCGCAGTCGCTTTTTCTCGTTCCTCTCTCTACCATCGTCATGGCAGCTTCCTGCAAAACAAGTGAGAAGAGAAGACAAGGGGATAGAGGGAAGGACACAAATGGAAGGAGAGGATAGGAGAGGAGAGGTGAGGAGAGGAGAGGAGAGAAGAGGAGAGGAGAGGAGGAGAGGAGAGGAGAGGAGAGGAGAGGAGAGGAGAGGAGAGGCGAGGCGAGGCGAGGAGAGGAGAGGAGAGGAGGGGTAGGGGTAGCGGTGAGAGTTAGAAGAGTTGAGGAAGGAAAGAATGTTGTTTGGAGGGTACAGCGCTGACCTTAGACAATGACCCCAAGGAGGTAGTCGCACTTCTTCGCACGGCACATTCTTCGAGGGAAGGGTAGATCCTATAGGAGGAGGAGGAGGAAGAGGAGGAAGAGGAGGAGGAGGAGGAGGAGGAAGAGGAGGAAGAGGAGGAGGAGGAGGAGGAGGAGGAGGAGGAGGAGGAGGAGGAGGAGAGTGAGAAGTTAGAAGAGCAGGAGGAGCCAAGAGGATGTAACATGGGAGATGATCGATGTGAGGAAAGGATGATGGTATGAATGACCGCAGGAAAGAATGAGAGGAGCGAGCGAGCGAGCGAGTGATCGAACGGTGGGTGGATAAAGGCTTTAGACTGATCGCTCGAGTTTGAGACGGGGTAGATAGACAACAGAAGGAACTCACTGCATGTTCCCTCCCCTCGGCTTATCCAGCAGGCTTCTTCGGATGTTCTTCACGAAGGTATGCGAGTCCTGATTCCCTCTTCACCCACCCGTCATGCTGCATTGTCGCGGCCTCACCTGAGCCCAGAATCCCATCGCTTCTATGGATACTAGTCGGAGAACGCGGTCAGGCATAGCTGCTGCTATCTGCTCTTGCAGTGTTATCTGCCACCTTCACAACATCGTCCTCACAGTCTGGGAGATACATCCGCCCAGGGAATGGCCGATCCTGCAACCACAGGAAGCACAACAATCACCAACCTGACAACTCTCTGAGGCAACAAATACAAACAACCCACAGGGAAAACTGTTTCCACTCAAGAGCGTCGGCGGTATAGATCACGTCCGCGACATTGTCGACCACATGGTATGTACCCGTCGACCTCCAGTCCGACTGCCCATGGCCTGTTTTACCGATCAACAGCTCCATTGCTACCATCCTCGTTCCCTCACACCTGCCAGGTCGATGCATGCGATCGACTTCGCTCCTCGCTTCAGCAGCAGCGGCGCCAAGAAATCGAAGGACCCAGCGTTGTCCAGCCATCCTGCTCCGAGACTTCAACTTTGGAGGAGGAGGAGGAAGAGGAGGAGGAGGAGGAGGAGGAGGAGGAGGAGGAGGACGAGGAGGAGGACGACGAGGAGGAGGAGGAGGAGGAAGAGGAGGAGGAGGAGGGCGAGAAGTGGAGAGGGGGGGCGGGGACGAGGACAAAGAAGAAGAAGAAGAAGAAGAGGCAACCATGGACTGCAATCCATCTTTCTGCTGGGTTTGTTATCGTCCTCGGGTCTTCCCCCCATACCCGAACGGCAATCTGAATACCGCCTGCGCAAGGGAGTCAGAAATGTCGACAAGTCCACAAGGGAGTAAGGCATGTCAGGAGGACGGGGGAGGGTGACTCTGGTGAATCTTGCAAGGGAGTGAGAGAAGGAAGATACGAGAGTCAAGCGACATGAGTAGCGTCAGTGAATGCGATGCTGATAAGACCACTGGCAAGGACATGAAACGAACATTGCAGCGGAGAGGACGAGGGGGAGGCAATGAACGGGTCGATCGTCTGCTAAATAGCAGGAGGCGACAGGGCATGCATGGACGCGCTAGTGTGGTATGACAGGTGTCCTCAGCATGCCCGACGCTCCCGCCATACTCTTGCCTCTGATCGCCAGCCGCCGCTCCTTGAGGATATGCCCCAGCATTGTAGGCGCCACAAACCCTGTAGCTGTTTTTTCCCTGAGCTTTTTTTCTTTTTTCTTTTTTTTCTTTACAAAGAAGTCTGAACGAGTCTGCCTCAGAGTGTTCCTTAGATGAGAAGCAGGAGCAGGAGCAGGAGCAGGAGCAGGAGCAGGAGCAGGAGCAGGAGCAGGAGCAGGAGGATCAGGAGAGGGAGAGGGAGCAGGAGCAGGAGCAGGAGCAGGAGCAGGAGAGGGAGAGGGAGCAGGAGTAGGAGCAGGAACAGCAGGAGCAGGAGCAGGACGAAGAAGAGCAGGAGCAGGGCAAGGAATGTTGGGCAAGGATCAGAGGATAGGTCATGATACGGAGGGGATGATGAGTGGGTTGATGAGCACGTTGGAGAAAGCATGAGCGAAGAGACTTACTTGCGATCTTGTCCGTGTTCCTCCTCTTTGATGTTGCTGTTGTGTGACTTTTTCTTCCTTCTTTCTCCCCACCCTCCCTCCTCTCCTCCTTCTTCCTTCCTTCCTCCTCCCTTCTTTTCTCGTACTTCAGATAACCAGGCGTAACAAGACGGCTTCCTCAACGTTAGTCTGTCTTGTTGTCTCCCTTCTTCTCTTCCCTCTTCTAGTTGCCCCCAGCCCGCAGGCGCCTCGTCTCTTCTCAGCCACAGCCATGCCGCTTCCAGCAAGCTCCTCCGTCCGCGTCGGACTGATCAGGATGCAGCTCGAAGCCAATGAGCAGGACAGTGCGAGGATGCGGCGAGCGGCGGACGTCGCGCATGACAGGCTCTACATCCTGCTGGAGGGAGACTGGTCACAGCAGTCTCGCTCCGCCATCCAAGGGAGGCTCAAGTTCATCTACGACCTTCTAAGCCTCTCTGCTCCCCGTCTCGACGCTCGCGTCCTCCTCCCGAGCGAGGAGGCGTGGCTCGCTAGGAGCGCGGAGGACGCGGAGGCGATCATCTGCTGCAAGGAGGAGGAGGATTGTGTGGACAGGTGGATGGAACGAAGGACGGAGCGAAGGCTCCCTGCTATGCAGAAGCTGTTGCTCGACCTCCCATGCTGCTCCAGCCTGACAAGCCTCGGATGGGACGAAGGCACTTGCATGCTGCTGCCCCCTGGTAACTTCCAGCACGTCGTGCTAGGGGGAACGTTCGATCGCATCCATGCTGGGCACAAGCTCCTCCTCTCTATGACCTGCGTCTGCGCGAGCGAGCGAGTGCTAATCGGAGTTTCAACCGGCCCCTTGCTGGAGGGGAAGACGATGAGGGACGTGATGCAGCCGTTCGAGCAGCGGCAGGTTCGGCTGCTGCAGCTGCTGCAGTCGCTGCGAGACAGCGTGCGGTATGAGATAGTCCCCATCTCCGACCCCTTCGGCCCCTCCATCGTTGACGAGCAGCTGCAGTGCATCGTTGTGTCGAGGGAGACGGAGCGGGGAGGGCACAGCGTGAACAAGCGGAGGGTGGACAGGAATCTGAACGAGCTCGTGGTGGACGTGGTGGACCTTGTGGGGCCCGAGGATGCAGATGATTCCAACAAGATGAGCTCGACTATGCTGAGGAGGACGATGCTCGGTTCGTTCAACGGTGCGGACGTGAACTCGCTGTGCAGGCAAGGAGGAGAGGTGGGAGAGGAGGAGTTTGTACGGTGTACGTCCCCTGACGTCCTCCCGTACATCGTCGGGCTGACGGGGGGGATAGCAAGTGGGAAGTCTACGATCTCCGGGATGCTGAAGGAGGAAGGATGCGAGATTGTTGACTGTGACAAGCTCGGGCACCGGGCGTACCTGAAGGGGAGCGAAACGTTCAAGAGGGTTGTGGAGGCGTTCGGTAGCCAGGTGGTCGACCCTTCCTCTGGGGAGATTGACCGACGGTCCCTGGCCAGCATCGTCTTTGGTGACGCAGAGCAGATGAAAGTCCTGAACGGGATCGTGTGGCCAGCGATCAGGGAGCTTGCGGTAGAGGAGATGAAGGGGATGAGGGAGAGAGGCGTCGAGCTGTGCGTGATGGAGGCGGCGGTACTGCTGGAGGCGTGCTGGGATGACTTCGTTGATGAGGTGGATATATGATCCTGCTGCTGCTGCTCCTGCGTATGCGTAAGCGTATGCGTATGCGTATGCGTATGCTTCTCCTTCTTTCCACCTGCCCCCTACATCCTAGTTGTCCTTTTTCACTTCCTCCTGCTCCTGCTCCTGCTCCTGCTCCTGCTTGCTCCCGCTTCTGCTCATCCCTCGATTCCTCCTCCTCCTCCTCCTCCTCAACCAACATTCTCCTCCTTCCCCCTCATGTTGTACCATCTGCCATTTACATTCTTCATACTTGCTTTCCTTATCCTTTCGATCCTTCCTCGCTTCGCAAGAAGACTTCCATCATCAGCACAGCTTCATCATATGCTTGCTCGATCATACTGACTTGTCTGTCCCAGGTATGGACAGTCATCGTCCCTGAAGAGAAGTCCAAGGAAAGGCTGATGAAGAGGAACAACATCAGCGAGGAGGTCAAGTTTGTGGAGAACAGCAACCTTTCCTTGTCATGATCGGTCTTCCTTGTAGGATGCAAAGAAGAGAATTTCTGCGCAGATGACCAACCAGGACAGAATGAAACGAAGTGATATCATCATCTCCAACGAATGGGATACGGAACAAACTAATCAACAGGTGAAACAACTTTGTCGCCGACATTTCTATCTTTCGCGCTCAATCTTGTTTCTTTTTGCTATCGTTGTTTGTTTCCAGTGTCATATCAATTCGCATTCTGCTGATTTCTCAAACAACAATCACTCCATTTTGCTTCACAGCAAACTTCAATCATGTTACCTTTGTCTCACCTACTACTCACTTCTTACTCAGGTCAAGAAAGCTCTGCAAGGTGTCAAGAACAGGATGTCATCCAAACCCCCAATACAAGTGCAACAAGACTCCAACGGAAACAACTTCCTCAGTAGCAGATGGTTCTCCTGCTGCCGATCGTTGAAGGTCGACGACGCTACACAGAGAAGTTGGTGGAGGTTGATAAGACAGAAGTACTCTGGTGTTGGGAGGTATTATCATAACACGCATCATCTCCGGGACATGTTTGTTCTGCTCCAAGAGTTCGCAATCTCTGCCGACAGGCAGGATCTGTTGTACCTCGCGATCTTCTTTCACGATGTTGTCTACGATGCTACAAGAACAGTGCGTTGTAATGGTGGATGGTGAGGATTTCTGAAACTTGTCCAGGACAACGAGGAGGCAAGCGTGAAATTCTTTCAGACGTTCTGTAATGCAGCTCGACAGATTTCGCGGGAAGATCAGGTGAAGATGATTAGAAATCAACATGTTCATGTTGTTGTCATGAGAAATGAAGAATGATCCTGTACATGTTGTGTTGATGAGAGATCAAGAACGATTCTGAAGGCATGTCTTGACTGCAGGATCTTGTTTGTAAGATGATCATGTCAACGAAGCACGACGCTGATCACGACAGGGAACTCAAAGGTCAGGGAATGATTTGCTTTGACTTCAAGACACATCTTGTTTCTCCCTTCTCACATCTTGTACAATCTTGCATGTTTCTAAACTCTCCCCCATCTCATTTTCACCCTGTTGAAAAAGCCAACAACATCCTCTCATCTGTTTATTCTGAAAACATACATATAACTTCATACTCATACTCACTCCTCACTCTCTGTAACCTCCAGCCATCATTTTGCAATGTCTCTTCTGCATTGTTCTCGCTGTATATATTCTCACTCCATCATCTACAGGAGATTTTGCCATCCTGAACGACCTCGACTTGTCAATTCTTGGATCTCAACCAAGCAAATATTCCAAGTACGCGGAGAACGTGCAAATGGAGTTCTCTCCCCTTCCCTTCCCGACATTTCTTGCAAGGTTTGACAACAGTTTGAACGAGCACAACACACTTGGTCGTGATTGAGCTTGCAGGAGAAAAGAGTTCTTGAGCAAGATGCTGTCCAAGACGACTATCTTCTCTGCAGATGTAACGTGAACTTGTCCAAGTGAAAAGCTGCTGAACCTTCTCAGGTGTTCAGAAGGCACCTTGAAGACACGGCAAGATCAAACATGGACCGAGAGGTTCACCATCTCTTCCTCGTCCTCCTTCTCCTTCTTGATGCCTTAGTCCTTCTCGTCCTCTTCATCGTCCTGTTCATCGTCCTGCTCCTCCCACACCTCTTTCCTCCCTCTCCCTCTCCCTCTCCCTCTCCCTGCCCCTCTCCCTCTCCCTGCCCCTCTCCCTGCCCCTCTCCCTCTCCCTCCCTGCCCCTCTCCC